TTGAGGAACACACATAAACATACATATACTCACATACCTCTGCACAGTCAGGGAAATCTCACTTCCTACAGAAATCAGGCTAAAATAATGGACACCCTAAAAAATTCATGATGTACACACACTCACATGCATGTCTACCACCAAAAGAGAAGGAAACAAGTGAGAAATGGCTCTTCAGTTGTGACCCTATGTTGTTGTGGTCTGTTGAAAGGCATGGAGGATGAGGCAGGGGATGTTATCTGGGACACTTTTACTGACAGCTCATCAGTAGGATACACAGAGACTGGAATTAGTTGGCTAACCAACCAAAACCAGACCTTCAGAGCACTAAAAATGTAAGAGTTCAAGCCACGTATTTATTACGAGCTCTAGGAGTGCGTGAGAAGCCTGACTCTCTTCCCATTTACACTAATGGAATTGTTGATTTTCAGTTAGCTTGCTTTTGGACCAGGGTGGCATGAGCGGGAAGAAAATGAAGCTCAGTTGCTTCATAACACCTGTGATAAAATCAAATGTGAGGTGGCTGCTGCAGTGCAGTGATGATGTTCTTGGCTCTCTTATGCTCTTAGAAATCTGAGGAGTGAGGGGAGAGTATGATGAAAAGTTTAAGAAAAAGGAGCATATGAAGTTTTCCTGCCAAAACAAATATATGTGGATTTGCAACATGTCTGGAATGGGGCCAAGGAGATTTTACAGAAAGTTCGTTAATCTGTGTTCTTGCTTACACAAGCCTATACACTAAAATGTGTTTAAAGACATGCGATTTAACAGTGGATAAGTTTATCAGCTCCCTTATTCACTTAATATGAAGTGCATTAAATGTATTTACTTGCTCCCTTTGGTTTCCTTTCTTTCTTTTACATGGACTTGCACATTTTCTTCTCCTACTTGACTGCAGTTGAGTGGCATCTGCAGAGACATGCTTGCCTTCAGGACAAAATGAACACTGATATTTTCAGAAATAAAGACATTATGTTCCTCACAAAAAAAAAAAAAAAAAAAAAAAAAAAGAAGAGACAGTTTTAAATGCTGTTGCATTTTTCAGCAAGGAAAAATGTTTATCAGGCAATCTTTTAAAAACTAGTTCTTTCTCAAGATGGAAGAAATTCCCCTTCTTATTGAGCCAATGATTTCAGGACTCTTTAAGCAACAACCTTAAGCTACAGGCTTCAAAAATTAACTGCTGAGAAGCCTGAATTTAAAAATGTGCTTTTAAAATGAAAAGTAAAACAGAGATGACATTAGTAAAAAATTTTCAGAACTGTTCAGGGCAGCATCCTATACTGAGAAATGGAAAGATCTAGGGGTTTTTTTTGTTTGTTTGTTTGTTTTGTTTGTTTGTTTGTTTTTTTATTTACCAAAGGTCCCTTTGAATTCAGCTCTATTTTTGTAGATGTCTGAGCTGCTGCTGGTAATTCCCTAGCCTGGCAAGCGGGGATGGTTGTGCGCAGCAGTGGGTCATTACCTCGGCCCCTAACCCAGGCGTTGGTACAAATGAAACCTCTCTGCCAGGGTACTGCCTGTGAGCTACTGCTCTTGGAGCGAGCATTGCCACCCAATTGCTTCAGTGCAGCACAGGGCAGCCAGTGTTACCCTGTGCCACGGTCCACTGCACAGGGGCATAGGAAACCTTACACAAAATCTCTTACAAATCTCTGCTGCCTGAGCCCTCTTTTACAGAGGCTGCCACCTTCAGAGGGAAGTCACCCTGGTTTCTGTCTTCTACTTGCTCCTGAGTCTCAGTCAAGGCCACTGGGTATCTCTTTTTCCTACCCCTGTGAAGTACATGGGGTCAAGGCAGAAGTTACATACTCGGTTCTGCGCATCAAGACCATGCAATAAGCAAGAAAGGAGTGTGCCAGGCCCTATCTAATGCAAATGGAGTGAAGGAAAAGGTGGATATCTGGGACATGATACGGAGCAGAGGCAAACGAAAAGCTTATGTGTTCTTACTAAGCTGAAGAGGAAAGAAGAGGGTGCCAGGAGTTACAAAACAAAATGTCATGCTGCTTTTGTAATTGCCAAATTGGACAAAATAATTCTGTCCTGCAGGGTGACCCTCTCTTGCAGCTCCAGCGAGGAAATGCAATACAAAATGAGGAACTGGGTTTTCTGAAAAAAATAATTGTCTTTATTGCATTACCATTTTATGCTATTACAATTATTGCATAATTACCCACTTGTTGTGAGTACTCATGTCTTTTTACATATTTCCTGCTCTCACGGTCCTTGTAGCATGGGACCACCCCAGAGAAATCCTTCGTCATACACTCCTGTGCTCTAATGCCAGAAAGTGTTTTGCTCTTTGGCAATCAACATCTCCACTAAATTTCTTAGCACTTAAGGCTTGTTTATCTAGGGGTGTACAGAAACTTGCTCACATAGTTGGTATCACTAATGGATTGGTGACAGGCAGCAGTAAAACACTTTGATCCCAGTCCTCAGGTGCTGTAACTTGTCTGAGGTGGATGACTGAGCTGCTTCCACCATTGATCAAGCAGTTTGTAGCAGATTATTATAATTAAGCACCTTTGAAGTGCCAAGTTATAGGAAGCTCTGGTGCAGTTCAGGTTGTAGAATTCAAACAAAATTTATTAATACTCTCATTTTTATGGTATGTCATGCTGTTTATGGAAATGGCTTTTCTGCACATTCAGATTTGTCCTGGTGAGGCTGCTCCACTTGGAAAAAGCACATGGAGGGAAATCATCCAGAGCTGAGAACCTGTCTTCACTCCTGATTTAACCATAACCTCATGTTTTCTCAAGCAACTCATGCGATCTGCATCTCCCAGTGGAGGTTTAGACCTAGCCTTGTCGCTGAACCAGGCAGATCTGCAGCACTTTGCCAGCATGACACACAAAGCAGCTCAGCCAAGGCTGAGAAGAGTGATCCTGAGCTGGGCAGCCTGAACGTGTGCCTCCAGCACACCACCACCACCAAAGTTATATCATTCCTCCGGTAATGCCACCAGTAGAGGGTCACCTCAACAGTTTAGTAAAGTAAAAAAAAAAAAATAGCTGGAAGCCACCTTTGCAATTGTGTCTTCAGGGCTGTACTCACTAGTCACTATGAGGTCGGGAGGCAGCTTTGTCAGTCCTCTAATTAATGCTTTTGCGGGTACCTATTCCCGCTCCTCCTCTGTTTCCAAGAAGCACCAATATAACCAGTGCTTACCGAGTTGCCACCCACTGCCTGCCGCAGCCCTGCCAGAGCACCCTGCCCAAACTGCAGCAGTAGATAGGAGCGAGCTAATCTAAAATCTAATTCTAAATCGAAATAGAATAAAAATGAAGTCAAAATGCCAACATCTATAAAATGTCCCACAGAAAAGAAAATGTTTAAAATGTTGCAGTTCCACTCTGCTAGCACTGTAACTAAGAAGAGAATGGGAGAAACAGTTGGCTCAAATCTTGAAGTTACCAAATAAACAACTTTTAATAAAAATAGACTGGGAAGGGGTGAGAAAGGCCTTAAAATATGCATATTTTAACTACTCTCCCTGAAAGCCTCAGTTGCTGTCTGTGTTTTTGAGGGACTGGGTTTGTAGGGAGGAAAAGGTGGTTCTGAGCCCCCAACGCCCATGCTAGTTACATTGCTGGGACATTTACTTTGGACTAGCTCTGCTCTGGTCCTGTGAGCTTAATTGCCATTAGTAGTGGGATTGTTTTGTTTCACCCAAGAGCAGCTGAAACTGCATGTCCCCAACCTGCTCTGCAGTGTGAAACATGGCATGGTACGTGCTGGAGGGCAGCAGAGTCAGTTCCCAAGTGAGCTCCTGCTCTCAAATATAACAATAATGTAGGCAACACACTTTGTTAATAATTTCTCAACATGAAGTAGACCCCTTATCTGGTTATCATTTCTGCCTGTAACTAACAGAAGTAATTTAAAAACGTGCCATCTGCCTAAAATTGTACAAATATGAAAAGTGCTTAATATGTTTGTAAAAGAAAATTCCAATATGGAGGAAGAAAGTACAGGGATGCTTGATTTCTCAATGACTATTGAAATATTTCGGTATGTAGTTACAGTACTACTTCATGCTAGTCTAAATCATTGCTATTAACAAATCTAGGAGCTTCAGGAAGGCCACATCTGAAAAAGAATTTACATCTTCCACTAATTGCATCATTTTATAAAGTCTCAAGAGTCTTTAAAAAATTGGCCTATAGTCTGAGTGACAGTTTGTGTTGCAGATTTAGAGGGGATATGAAATTTTCCTATATCAAAGCTGAAGAACAGTTCTGACAGCTGCATATGTTCTCTGAATTAATAATGTGAAGCCGGTATAAGACAATATTTAAGAAAAATCCATTTCTTTCTGCAGCATTGAAGCCCCTTGCTTATAAAATATTAAACAGGATTAAAATTGGTATGCCGCCTGAATGCTAAGAGAAAACATGAAATCCCTGTATGAATCCAGAAGTGAAAAGAATCATTAGTTCCAACTATTATTAGTGATAACTTATGATTTGGGGTAAATCAGACTCCCTTGGAGTACCTGCACTTGCTACTAAAATTCAAACCAGAATTTTGGCTCTGGCTTAGGGAGGAAAATTCACTTTCTCGCTTCATCATTTAAAACCCACTGACCAATCCTTATTTGCAGAAGCTTTCTCCACGTCTTTAACTATAGCAAACACCTCTGGAAGCTTAAATAAACTTGTTATCTGCTATGTAAGCTCTCTGAATACCAATTGACTAATCTGAAGTTCTGGTTTGTCCTCATTTTACAGACACAAATCCTTCCCTATGTCTCAGTGCTTCCTTACATCAGCTCTTAGTGACTAATAGGTTGTATAATGTCAATAAAAAACCAGGACACATGGCCTGGCTTTGTATTTTTTTGTCTAGCAGGGAGAAAGGCTGAGGTAAAATTTTGTCAGGAGACTTAAAAATTTAAGTTCAAGCCCACCTAAACTTCTCAGGTTGATAGTTTAGCTATTCTGTTCCCTGTTCCCACCTGCAGAAGTGGGAGAAATGTGTGTAAAACTCACCTGTGCACTCAACCTTCTGCAATCCCCCTCGGCAAGCCAGTGCTTTCCCAGCCGGTGAGATGCTGTTCGCGCTGGAGCAAGAGAGACCTCGGGAGCTGCAGAGAGGTCCTGTTGCCCGGAGCAGAGTGCAGAAACCCTGACAGCCTCCCTGACATTTATCTAGTGGAAGCCAGGGCGAGCGCACAGGGGACGGTACCATGAGGGGATGTTGCAAGCCTTGTCTGTCTGTGCCGGGTGAAAGAACTTCCCGTCAAAGTCCCGGGGAAAGTCCCAGCCCTTGTATTTACAGCTGAGGTGAAGCCATGGTTGCTTTTGTCATGCTGGTACTGACTTGCCCCTTGGCTATCGTCCAGAGCTAAGGTTTGGCTGCATTCCCCAACTCTTGGAAGCCTAACCTGAGAGTTGCAGAAGGCAAGAATGTTGTAGAAGTGCAACAGCAACTATTTGCCTGGAAGGAGAGCTGCTTTTTTTGGGTCATGGCTCTCCTGTGCCATTCCAGCTGTGGGTAGGAACAGGAAGAATGTCACATCGGGATGAAAGGAATTTGACATGGGGATGGTTGAAAGTAACAGATCTCTGAGATTCTCTATATATTCTCGGCAGCTACAGCGATCCTGTGGAGCCAGAGCCTGCGATGGATACATGTTGAGAAATGGGTCTTTAAGGGATAAGCCTCTGGGAGGATGCAAAGCTCTTGATGTTACACATCTGTTTGGAATGGAACATAATTCAAAACAGATGCCTTGAGCATCAAGAAATCACTGGACTGGTTCATAGTCTGGATAGGAGAAAGGGGCTAAGAGAGTCCCACTAGCACTGAGATTTTATTAGAAGTTTGAAAAATGAATTGAAGGGGATTTAAATAATATTGCACTCTACATTTGCAAGCAATGTGTGCCAATAAAGAGGAAGAAAGTAAAAGAAAAATTTTTTTTACATCAGCTTGCTTTTGGAAGACTTACTGGAAACTAACTAGGAAAACATACTGAGAAGGAAAAGATGTAGCAAACATAAAATATAGAATTAATCTCAGAATTTCTTACAGGAGCAAAAGGCACCAAGGCAGTGGACATATCTGGGATTAAACAGTGTAGTATTCTTTTTCAGCTGACCCATCAACTGACATGCTGCCAAAAATAGTGTTATTACATTTAAAATAAAATCTACAGGAAGGGGAAAGGACTCACAGAGCTTAAAATCACAAGGCTAACCCCACAGAAGATACATGAGAAATAAATGTACAAATTCATAACAGATGGAAAAAAAGGACAAGTGCTATGCCCTTCAGAGCATCAAGGTGATGTAAACATTTAGATCCTATGTAAGAATATGAGCAAAAAGGCTGAGAAAGAATTTGAAGCCATTTCCCGGTGGATCAATACCTCATGAATATTAAATAATGTAGGAAAGGGTTGAATTGCCCAACAATTCTCACATCTCTGCGAGCCCTTCATATCGTAAGGCCATGCTTAAAGAAGGAGCTGGATACCCTCATTGCTCTGGGATGACTGGAGGAACTGGCAGAGTAGTTCTTGTAGTTATAGAAAAGATAGATGAAACCCCTTGATTGTCCATAGATAGACCTGAAGGAAAAAAACAGGTCTGTTAGACTACCAAGGGGAGATATGGTCAGTGACAAATAACCTTTCTGTCCTTAGTACATCATAAGGCTCCTGGTGGGTGTTCATATTAGGAAAAAGAAAAAAGGAGATTTTTTGAACTTCCATGAAACCTTTGTGAGCTGCACTCTTTTCTCAGATGTCTATTTAGGCTGCGTTTGGCACCTGAGGAAAAACGTGATAAATTTTTCATGCCTTTCAGGTTAGTAAGATTTATACAGATGACATTTAGATCTGATGAAAAACATTGGCTTGGAGCACCCGTGGAAAGAAACTGTGCTTCTGGGCTGAAGCTGGACAAACAACACTGTAAATGCCGTGTAACACAAATAATAACATACTTGAAGAAAAGTTAGCACAAAACCCAAGTAAATCACAAGAAAATATTCAGCAATTTGTGTTCTCCAACAATATTTGGGTGCTGAACTGTAAAGAGAAATATGTACCTAATGTAGCTTCTTGAAAGTGTTGTCACAATGACCTCGCATGTAATTATTGAAAAAATTGAGAAATAGAAGGAATTAATTAGACATTTCAGACCTGAGAATAAATCATCCGTGGAGGATTCGGGGCATATGTTGATGTAGTTCTTTTAAACAGTGAGAAAAAACAAATGATCACAGTAGTTTATGAGTTAACAAAACTTAGGTATACTCAGAGGAAAAAAAAAGAAGATTTAATCTTAGTCATGGAAATAAACAAAACCATACATTTTTATTTACTGAAGGCCAGTGCTATTTGAAACTGATTATAAATCATGAGGAATTACAAACACAGCCTGGCCAATGGTTATTTTTCATTATTTTTCAGTTATGGAGTGTGACTTGCAGCTTCAATATAACCTTGAAATTGCAAGCAGGATTTCCAGAGCATTTGACAATGGAACCAAATCCAGAGAGATATTTGTACATCACTCTTATTGTAACAATAGTTACTGAGGATGAGATGTTTCAGAAAACAATTTGTATCATGAATGGAAGATTAAATTTAGCCTGAAAACATGAGAGTGGTGAACTTGACAGTACTACTGGGAAAGATGTTCCAAAGCATACGTGCAGATAATTTCAGGATTCAAATGTATAAGGAAAAGGCCAGGGACATCTTGTACATGAGTCTCAGCTGAGCAATTGTATTTAGAAAGAGAATAAGGCGTATCTTATGTAGTGTGGCCATGGTGAAGGCTGTATCTAGTGAAAGAGTTTACAGAAAAACAGGAAAAAACCTGAATTGTGAGAGGATATGCTTATTTGAGCTTCCTGTGTATTTGTGTTCCAAACCATTATTCCCCTTTTCCTGAGATAGCCTTACTATCTATTACTATTTGCCCCGACAAGAAGACTCCAGAAGACCATAGTGCGTGCCAAATGTATGTTCGTTGACCTAGCATACCTGACAGTAGGCCACCGTTCAGCAAACACAAGCTTAAGCAGGGAATGACGCTTTTAGAGAGGTTTCGTCCAGTCCCTCTTGCTCAATCCAATACAGCAATGGAAAAAGGAATCAAAAAACCGTGGTAAAATACAGACAGGGGTGAGTGGCACCCACGTAGGTGTCCTCTGGGGCCCTGGGAGCTGCTGGTTCTTCACGGGCTGTGCGATGCTGGGGCAGGAAAACTGGCCCCAGTGTGGAATGAGCCCTGGCCAGGGTGTCAGAGCAGTCGCGGGGGCAGGCAAGGCTGCTCCGTCTTGCCCTTCAGGCAAGGGCACTGGTAGTCGGCCTGTTAGTCCCGTGCCTGCCGCGGTCCTGCTGCAGCAGCCTGCACCCTGCCGCGACCCTGGCCTGGCTGAGGAGAGGAGCACGGGGCCGCTTCTGGCTGGGTTGCGCAGGCCCAGGGTCGGCCCTGGAGGCCCCCCGGCCCTGGAGGGGGAAGGGCAGGGCCGTCAGGCTGCACGCACAGCTGCGTCCAAACCTCCCTCCTCCAGGCCCCGCAGGCGCTCTCCCTGGAGCAGGCAGTCGGACACGTGGGGAGTGCCGACGTGCTCTTTCCTCCATCCCCACCAAGGACTTCGCTGCAGCTGCAACCCTATACTGTCCCCTGCAGTAATCTGCCCCCGGGAGACTTCTGTGGGCTGCTGGTCTTCTCCCGGGACCTCCTCCAGACCTGGGGTGGGGAGCAACCGGGACGCCTGCAGCCACCAAGAGGCAGGAGCTCCTTGCCACCCCTCCTGCACAGCCCCTACCTCCATGTGCAGGTGGCAGCTCCCTGCGGTCCCTCCTCTGGCTCCCCTGGTACTTCCTACAGCTTCTGGCTCCGCTCCTCTTCTCACTCTCCGTTTTTACCTCGCCCATCCAAAGGTCCAGTAAATCACAGGACCTGCTTGCTGACATTCTCCTCACTCTGCCCACTCTGTCCGTCTCTGCCACCAGAAAGGTGGGGTGCAAAGAGAGGGGATGCTGTGACCACTGGGCTTGCCGACCTCTCCTAGATGGATGGCCAACAACCCCAGCAATCCCCAGCAGCCTGCTGGGAGTGGTGTGCTCTGCTCTGTCCCCCCCTCTGGGGTCCTCGTGATACATTTTTGAGCTCTCAACTCTCACACTTCACCCTTCCTTTTTTTTTTTTTGCCCTCCATTTGTTGTCTCCTATCATCACTTGCCTGTGCTCCTTTTTTTAGGACAAAAAAAAAAAAAAAAAAGAGCAACGGTGTTACAAAGCTGCATGTTGTTTGTAGGAGGTTGTTTCCCCAGGCTCAGAAATATTGTGGAAGAGATGACAACCTTCTAAAAAAAACCCAAAAGGGAAAGAGAAGAAAAGAGGCACAGAGCCTGTCACTTTGTGCTGCAAAATCTCCATCAGATGGCAAACCCACACTGAGACCAGGGAGTCCCAGGACACACGACTAGGGTCGCTGCCCCTGGGAGAAGCAGTCCTTGTGCCCTAGGGGAGCCAGCATGCCCAGAGGGACACTGTGGGGACCTGAAAAGCTGATGGAAATTTACTGATAAATGCAATCTCAAGGTCGGTGATAAACATTTGTAACTCTCTGTTATATCACTGTTTGAAATATACTTGTTTTTATGTTTTCCTTGTCAGGAAAGGTATAGTCTTGGGATCGTGCCTTAAAGTTTTAGCATCTGAAAGAAAAGTTCTGGCTATAGCATTGTAAAGCCTTTCTTTGTTATGTGCAGCCTTCACAGATTGGAGGACATAATAAACCAGATCTTGTGCTAGGTTCTTATTCTGAGGTCCAAAATTGCAAAGGTTTTCAGGGTGAAAGTCAGCACATCTTTCAGGATTTATACATTAGAGATTACAAGACACCATCAAGCACACTAGTTAACCCAAATCTTAGTGATGCCAGAACAGGATGGATAGCTACCTAAAAACAGGGTATGCAGTAGCATAATTTAAAAATAAGCTTTGTCCTGTATTCTTTGCCCCCTATCATGGCATTTCTGCACAAAGCATAGTTTGTTGTGAGTGAAGAACTGGGTCCTTAGTGTTTAGGGGTAGCTGGCTTGACATCAGCTTTCACAGAACCAGTAAGCATACCATTCTTATACCCTTCACAAAATCACAGATGCAGTTCTCACTG